ACACAGCCCAGTTTGGAGCATGGAGCACAGGCCCCCAGCATGGGTTTGCCCGCATTTCTCGCTGGGAATTAAAAAAACCTCCTGAACGTTTACCCACTGGCGATGTTGAGGCAATTTTCCAGCTGCTTGACAATGAGTTTACTCGTTCCATGTGGAATTATCCGTAAGTTTATGTCTTTTTTATGATGGTGATTTAGTTGTTAGAGGTTTATTTTTTTGTTATTATATTTTTTTTTTTATAAATGTGTATTATGGTATATGTAACAATAATAAGCTGAGTTTGAATCACAATATCAAATTCTATACTCTTTTTCGTCTCCCTCTACCCCTCTCCTTTTCTCCTCTCTCTCTCTCTCCATCCCTACCTCCCTCCCACCCACTCTCCCTTTCTCCCTCTCCCCCCTCCCCCCTCTCCCTCTCCCTCTCCCTCTCCTCTCCCTCTCTCTCTCTCTCTCTCTCTCTCTCTCTCTCTCTCTCTCTCTCTCTCTCTCGTTCCCCGTCTCTCTCTCCTTTCTCTCTCTCTCTCTCTCTCTCTCTCTCTCTCTCTCTCTCTCTCTCTCTCTCTCTCTCTCTCTCTCTCTGTCTTGAAGCATGTTCTTAATTGACTTCTTGTGTTTAAACAGGTTCAGTCTAACATACCGGCTGATCCTGCGTGAGAAGGAGCTCCACTTCAACATCTCAGTGTACAATCCAGGAGCAGAGACATTGTCCTTCACCCTTTTGTTACATACCTACTTCAAGGTCCCTGATGTACGACGTTGTCAGATAACTGGCATGAGGGGATGTACCTACATTGATAAGGTATGTGTTTAGCAGGTTCTGTGTATGAGATGAATGAATAACAGAAGTAAATTTTTGCTTTCCTTTTATTTGATTCTTTTTGTTGTTGTTATTGTGGACTTAGATATTAGAATTTTTATTAGTATATGAGTTTTATAAGGAATCTACTGCATTTTAAATATGCTCTTGTTGTACATGATAGAAATTTGTGAATATTTATTTGTAACTATATTTTTTTCAAGACACGGGAGGGAGCTCTGTACCAAGAACACCGAGATGTAGTAACTATTAATGAGTGGACAGATCGTATATATCAGAACACTCCCCTAGAGCACATCATTACTAATGTTGTCAGTGGTCGAAAAATGAGAATACAGAAGTACAACTTGGTTGATACTGGTAAGTGACAATAGTAGTAAGAGTAGTGAAAAATAATAATGATAATAAATTCACATACAAGTACAAATTATATGAGATATACAAGTGTGCATTATTCATCAATATGTGCATAGTAGATATATGAGAGACTCTGTTAACTTTGACTTTTTACTTCAGTGGTGTGGAATCCCTGGGTGGAGAAGGCCAAAGAAATCCCAGACTTTGGGGAAGAAGAGTTCCCAAACTTAGTGTGTGTGGAAGCAGGTCATGTCTCAGCACCTGTTATCCTTCCGCCTGGCACAGTGTTTGAAGCCAGTCAGATCTTGCAGGTCATGTAGACTGCAAGAGTGGAAGGTGCTTGCAAGATAGTAGTTTTTGGAAGGAGATACTAAGTATATGTAGAGTTAAAGGGAGTAATGAGGAACCTGTTGGTGCAGGTGGCTACTAGCAAGCACTGATCTTTTGTGTTACAGCACAAACAGAGGTGATGCATGATATTACAGCTAGTAGACCGAAAATGCCAGCATGGTATCTTTGACAGGAGTAAGTTTGCATTTTTTTTTTACAGTACGAATTAGGGTTGTGAAGGTTTAATGTTATTTGGAGGCCTTTTCCCTTTTCTTTGTGAATAATGCTTTACATGGCCTCTCCTTTAATCATGTCATATAGTAGGAAGAAACATGGTGTATATTATGTTTGCATTTATTTTGACTGATAAGCACAATATTGCTCTTAATTTAATGAAGATCAAGTAACTGACTAGATAAATATGACAAGTCTTGTATATGAACTGTAAGTCTTGATGTCAAAACAGGATATGCTGTTGACTTTCAATCTTCACATGGAAATATCTCATGGTGCTATGAGTTTCATAGGAAATGGAGTTAAAAAGAATTTTTTTTCTTTATATTTATAATGCACATCATTACATCAATCAGCCAGGAAGAATAATTTTAAGAATAAGATCTCTAATGTATCAATCCCTATGAATATATGAGTATATCGCAGAAAATTTTTACGGTGTGAAGTAATTATATAAGTGTTTGATCTCACCTATAGTGTTAAGATGTTAAGCACAAAAGTTATAAAACTGCGTCCAAAATGTAACACGTGACCTGGTTATCCACAGCATTTATTAAGGTTGTGTCACTATTTTCATTATATTTGTATCCCAGTTGCAAAAAACCAAAGTCTGAAGAATCATGAATTAAGACAGGGTGATTTAACTATTAATAATATTTGTATTTTGTATGTTTGTTGTAGAGGAATCGCTACTAATCTAGATATGGTATTGTAGTATGGATTTGCTTTTGCGCAATTCTGTGATGGTGCATAATAATAAAAAAAAAAGAGTGCTAATGGGTTGCTAACTGTTGTGGAGTAGAAGACGTTTAGGAGGTTTGTAGTTGACATTTTAAGCTTTCTAATATTGTTAAATACCCAGACCTGGGTAGCATGTGGCTTTCCTACTCTAGTTTCTGCAGATGACTTCTGCCAAAAAACTATTTTTAGTGTGAGATTTAAAAGAAAAGGAGGTTTTTATATAAGAACATTTGGTGACCATTAGGCTGGCCCAGATTATGATTTCATGACATCATATTCATGCAGATTATAGCTTTTTAGTCAAATTATCATGACGCATCTTCACAATACTCTCTAGAATAGGACCACCTAAGGATGCACATTAAAATATTACAAACAGGTATAAGTAAAATTTTAAGTTTGGTTAAAAATAATTGTTTAGGTTTCACTAATCTATTTATTTTAAAAGTCATTAAAAGAGTCCTTTATTTTATATAATTTAATTATTTAGTGTAATGAGTCATCTTTCCACTTAACCTGCAAGTAATTATCACAGCAAGGGAGTGTACTCTCTGAGCATTGTACTCCTCAATTGTTCTCTGCCCAAAATATTCTTTAGGGAAGAATGTTTATATTTAATCCCTTTTCGTAGACATGAATGTTCCTGCTCTTGTAATTACTGCTTGAAGCCAGATAACAGTTGAAAGGGTACAGTCCGTAAGATTAAGTTGGAATTTGGTTAGAATTGAAAAGCTCTAGGATATCTTATCAAGAGTAAATAATAGTAGGAGAGAGAGGTCACAGACCTTTGGCATTATTATTAATATTCTTGTGCATTCCTGCTTCATTTCATTCATTTTGAGAGATGTCTTTTATTGTGAACTGATTAAATAAACAAAAAATTTGAGTTGATGAAATTATTTGTGAAATGTAATTGACAATGTATTATATCTTTTGTTAATCACTCATATATCAAATAAAATATTGTCTAGAGTACTTTGTTTATATATGTGGTCTTTCACAAAGGTGACTTGCTAGATAATGAAGCCTTTATCTTTTTTCTTTTTTCCTTTCATTTCATTCTGTAAAAAGGCAATTAATTAGTACTTTTTATGCATGACACTTTATTTACATACTTATATATTTGCAGTTTAAAATTACATGAGTGTGGACTTGTGTTATTCTTTCAGATTTTCAAGGACACTTTAGTGACCTTACACAGAGTAACAAGGTGAATAAGAATTATGTCAAGTGTTTGCTTATCAAGTATGACTTTCCTTGTTTCTTTCACCTAGCTATAACTTCTCCCCCTCTTCCTTCATAAGCTAAAGCTGTCTTGTTTTGCCTTCACTTCTCATAGATTATAGTACTTTTACCTCTCCTGTTAAAATCCATTGTTGTGGTTGTTAAGAAGGTGATGTTATTGTCAAGAGCAGCTCGTAGCATTATTACGTTGATGTATTAATGTGAATATTTTTCAAGATGAGTAATACATGTATCTTCTGATAGGTTGTTATATGGAGGTTGTTGTACTGTTATTAATTAGACTAATAATGTCATTTAATTTTTTGTTATACAACATTCAGTGAAAGACATGGTTGTTACATTCACATATGTTTGTTCTTTACTCTAGAATGTTTCCAGTGTTGATTTAAACCAAGACACAAGACCCCTCACTAATACAGGTGACTCTCAAGATGAAAGGAAATACATATATGAAAAGTAGTGTAGTATTAGGATTTAACTAAGCTTGTATATGGACAATGCTGGCCCACCCTTTCTGTTTAGGTGGGGAAGCTTTGTTTCCGACACCAGCCGAATTGCCTAGTGTAAGGAAATTTGTATTTTTTGTTTTAATTTTGTTGCATAGCACATCGAGATGAGTTGTCAAGGGCCAGGATCTTTTTTTCTTTTCTTTTCTTTTCTTTTTTTCTTTCTTTTTCTTTTTGTTGGTAATTTTTTTTCTTATTGTTGATTTCACATGATTCATAATATAGATGTAAGATTTTAGCAAAGTGCATGGTAGCCTTATAGAGCCTCACATTTTATCTTACCTTGAAAACAGCACATGCACATTATGTTCATTAAATAAATAACAACCCTAAAGTTATTTTATTAGAAAACATTAATCAAAACCTGTTTCTAATTTGTAAATGACAATTACACATCAATAAGCTGAGGTTATTGATGAAGATATAGAGGTGAAAGGGCTACCAGTAGCTTTGTTTGGAAAGTATCACATCCAAATGCTCATTTCTGACAACTCTCTCATTTTACCATGACATGTGAACCAAATATTGACCTGTACTACAAATATTTCTTTTTGTCTAAAGAATGGATTTTTTTATATTAATAATTTTTAAGTGTGGAATATGTTAAAAGTGCAGAATGTTAGTTTCTTTTATTTTAATTGACAGTTTTGTTGAAATCTTAATGACTTAATTTATTTGAAGGTGCTTTAACCAAGAGAAGATTATTGTGTGGAATTTTACAAAAGTAGAATTCCTATGCATTTTAATGTATGGTATTCTTGAATAACA